CCGTTGCTAATACTAGTGTTTAGTGTTGTTAGCCTTACTAATGTGCAGTGTTGTTCAAGCGACTTTACACAATGCAGACAGACAGTGAGAGCGAGAGTGAGAGTGAGAGAAATAGAGGGGTATAGTAAGTGAGTGAGACAGCAAGTGAGACGCTCGCTAGGATCAATGCGTTCAACAACAACGATTCCAAAACTAGAAAAGCAAAACAATTTTCACATTTTGATTGAGTGCCCCTCCTAGTACTTCTTTTCGCCTGCTTCTCAACTGTGGGCGTGGCTCAGCCCAGGCCAGCACCACCGCCCAAGTGCACTGAAGTCGCTGACAACTCGACGCGTTGACATTGGCGGCGCTCAACAATCACCGCCGCTGGCAGCGACTATTCCAGCCCGGGTCATACGTTCATTGCATAATAAACGGATCCCTGTTGCTGCTGTTGCTGCTGCTGTTGTTGCTGTTGCTGCTGTTGCTGTTGCTGAACTGCTCCGCCTGTCGGCGAGACCATGGCACTGCAATCGCTGTGCGACACAGCTGCTGCTCCTTCGGGCACGCCCCGTTCACTAAAGCCCGGCATGCCGCCCTCTGCTGCGAATTGATAATGCTGCGACATGAGACGTTGTTGCTGCTGCTGTTGTTGCTGTTGTTGCTGCTGTTGTTGCTGCTGCTGCTGCTGCTGTTGATGCTGCTGGTGCTGATGCTGTTGCGGATGCTGTGCGTAGTGGGCGGCATGACCACGCCCACTCACCACATGCAACTGCATGCCGGGCAGTGCATAGCCAATGGGCACGCGAATCGTTTGCTGTGTTACCTGAGCAAAAGTGAAAAAGAAAAGAACAATTTGAATTCAATTCTTAGCAAGTCGGTGTACTAGACTACAAGATGCCCTGTAAAACGAAAGTGTGCTAAAGCTTTTCCTGCATCTATATTGATTTATAGGCTACGTCTAATCTAATCAAATCCCTTTTATCCTCTGCCCTCTTTCTGTCTTTCATTATCTTTACCTACCAATCAATGCATTTCAATCGTTCGTTGTTTCTCTCTCTTTGTCATTCACCCTCTGCCCTATTTTTGGTCTTCTTCTTTATTTCCCTCCCTTTTTTCTCTCTTTCCTTTTCTCTTTTCTTCCCATCTCGCTCCTTCTCAGCCTTCTATTCGTTTTCAGCCGCTGTTCTTTTCCGTCTCTTTCCTCTCGTATCTCTCTCACTTTCTCTCAGACTCTTTCTTTTATCTCTCTGTTGTATTTTCTGGCATTCTCTCCCTCATAGTATCTTGCGTTCTCTCTGTGCATATCTCGTTTGCACTCTTCCTCACCATTTCTTTGTCTATTGCGCTGTCTCTCTTTCTCGCTCTCTCATTTTCTCACTGTCTACCGCTCTATATTTCTTGGTCTCTCAATTATATTTTTCTCCGTATATACATACATATATCTATCAATTAATTTCTGTCTTTCACTTTTCATTCTTGACTGTGTCTTCCTCCCTCCCTTCCACACATACTCTAAGTTTCTCTCTTTAGCTGTCCACCCTTTGTACTATCTCTACCCCCTCATTCCCTCTCATTCTCTTTCTCTTTCTCTCTCTCTCTCTCTCTCTCTCTCTCTCTCTCCTTAGCATTTTTTCATCTTTCTCTCCTTCTCTTCCACACATACTCTAACCCTATCTACCATCTCTATTTTTCTCTGTCTCTACTCTTTCTCTCTCTCGCTTTCTCTTTCGCATTCTCACCTGCTGATACTCGAGTATATTCTGTCGCTGAATGTGCGCCAGCTTCGGATCGACACTGCTGCTGGTGGCAAATTGGGAATAGGTTTCGGCATTGTAGGGTATCAGCACCATCGTCTGATGATAGTTACGCAATGGCGGCGGCGACTCCGGCCGTCGGGTGGGGCTACGTGCAAAGTGGCTGCTGTAGCTGCTGTGCTTGCTCTGCTCGATGGCCGTTGCTGTTGCCGTTGCCGTGACGCTCTGGCAGTTCTGTGCCGCCGCATACAGCAGCGAGGCATCGTCGGCGGCGCCCTGCTGTATCATGGTCTGTCGGAACATGGCGCCAGCCGGCAGCGTCTGGTAGTAGGTCTGCTGTATGGCAGCCGCAGCCGCCGCGTCCACCGGAAAACGTTGCTGCTCTCCGCTCTCGCTGTAGAAGCTCCAGGTGCGCTGCTCCGTCTTCTGCTGCGCTATGGTGTTCGCCTGCAGCGCAGCGGCCATTTGCTGTTGCAGTTGTTGTTGCTGCTGCTGTTGCTGCTGCTGCTGCTGCTGCTGCTGTTGCTGCTGTGGCACATTCTGCGGCGAGGGGTTCTGCTTGGGCTGATTGGGCATGGCGTAGCCCTTGATCGCCTGTGGCACCGGCTGGCTACTGATCACCGTTGTGGGTATTTGTTGAGTGAGCTGCTCCTGCATCTGGGCGAGAATCTCGTTGGTGGAACTGAACTTGGGCTTGATGCCGCGCACCGAGGGCCGCTTGTTGAAGCCATAATCGTTCTGCTCGTCGTCGTCGCTACTCGCCTGCGACTGGGACTGCGAGGCGCTCTCTACGCCCGTGTAGCGTTTCTTCAGCTGCTCCGTGCGCTTGGCCTCCGCCTGGGCAAAGGCGGCCAGTTCGTCCTGCTGTGTTGTCTCCTGGCCGGGTGTGCCCGCAATTACATCCGGCGCCACCTTACGTGCCTCATCCCCACCGCCAGCAGCTCCACCGCCCGCACCACCAGCTCCTGCGCCAGCTCCAGCTCCGCCGCCTCCTGCTCCTCCGCCCATGGCCAAGCCCTGTGCCGCCATCGCTGCAGCTGCCGCCTGCTGTGCCGCAGCATCACCAACGCCCGCTGCCGCCGCCGCTCCCAGCAGCTGGCTCATGTTGTAGTCAGCTGCGGCCGCTGCAGCCGCATAATGGGCATGCGCATGCGCCGAGTGCCCATGCTGATGGGCAGCCGCTGCTGCGGCCAGTGTGTAGTAGGAGGACAGATCGTCCTTGTTGCCGGCCACACAGGCTGTCAGCGGCGCCAGTGTCGATAAGAATTGACGCTTCGGCTCGTTTTGGCGCGGCGGCGTTCGATGGATTTGTGTGTGCACCACTGGCACCTGGATGCCCATGCCCAAGTCTGGGGCGGCCGGGCAGCGGCATTCCTGGAGATGAAAAGTGTTAATGATCAAACGATTACTGGCAATTCAAACTGTGCGATTTGGATATATATCTGTAGAGCGGCTCTCTTTGCGATTCTTATTAAATAAGCTCTTAAGGCTGGCATGCACGTAATATACAATTATTGCAATGATAAACTTTTTTCCAAGCACATAGCCATTAATTTTCACGATTTTAGGTGTATAACAGTTGTATAACACTTTTATAACAGGTGTATTATACTTGTATAACAGCTTTTAAGCGCTTGTATAACATTTATATTCATGTACTTTTTATATAACAGACACAATAAAATATTTGAGCTGTACAACAGTATAACAGTTATTTGCTTGCCTTTCGCCGTGATTTTCATAAACTCAAAGGAAACATAAAGTTTTCAAACTTCTGTAGGTTTGTTTAGTAAACCAAAAAAAAAAAAAACAAATCTTAAGACTTTCAGCTGTATAACAGTTGTATAAAAGTTGTAAGACAGTGGAAATATAACCAAAAACTCATTTATAAACACTTTTCTATAAAGTGCATCTCCTGTTTATGCATTAGGCAAGCTTGCCCCTCTCTGCAATTCTCATGAATACAACAAGTTAGTTCCTCTAGCTCCCTCTCCCTCTAACTGCCAAAGTGCGCTTACCTGTGGTATGATAACAATAGGATTCTCCTCCAGCTCCATGATCTTCTCCTGCTTCTTGTCGCGACTGAAGATGTCGGCGATTTTCTTGTAAGCCGACGAGCCGCTGGACGAGCTGGAGACGGAGCTGCTGGGCGAGAAGCTCTTCTCGCCATTCATGAATTTGGGCGCAAGCGTGTTGGGGTTCTCCTCGCCGGCGGGACTGTCGCGCTGTGCCAGCTCCGAGCAGTCGCGGTCGCTGGCCAAATCCTGATCCTGATCAGCATCGGCAACGCCGCGTGACAGCTCCTCGACCAGATCCTCATCAATGTCGCAGGTCAGCTGCTTTATGCGCTCCTCCAGCGAAATGTCCGACTTGACGGCCTTTTTCCTGTAATGGGAATAGTGGAAGAACATGAAAACTTAGATTGCCTGAGCTAAGCTTCAGTTGCACTCACTTGATCAGGGAGCGCCGGAGTATGTTGCGCTCCATGCTGCGCCGCAAGGTGTCCGAGTCGCCGCAGCTGCCGGGCAAATGGGTGACCAGGCAGCCGGCACGCTTCGACTCATCGAAGGCGCGCAATGCCTCCGAGGTGAGCACCGGCGCCTGTTGGGCCGAGACGCTGGGAAACAGTTGGCGCACCGCCGAGTTCGGACGCAACGCATTATTGAACAGTGTCGAGTGCTTCTTAATGGGTATCAGCTCGTTGATCTGGTTCTCGCTATCATCCAGCTCGCCGCACAGCGATTGACCATCGCCATCGGTGCCGGCGTTCGCCTGATCCTCGGTCACAAAACGCACCGAGCGTTTCGTAGCGCCACTTTCGTCCTCTGAGGTGGTGTTATTTTGGTCATCCGATTGCTGGTGGTTGAGACGTAGATGGAATTGATTGTTTAGCATTATGTTATGTGTTTGTAGCTTCCTGATTGATTGATTGACTGACAGCAGCTCTGACTGATTGACTGTCTGTTTAACAGGAGACAGACTAGCTACCTGACGATTTGTCTATCTCTTATAGCTTGCTCGCCTGATTGATTATCTGATTAAATGATTGACTATCCACAGCTCTGATTGACGACAGCTCTGATTAGTTTGCTGATTGACAGACTATCTGACAGGAGACAGTTTTCTTACTCTCTGATTGTAGGATTGTTTACAGCTCTGACTGCCTACAGCTCTGAATGACGCTGCTTCAGCTGGTTCGCTGATTGACTGACTGTTTGTCTGCCTTTTATTGCCTGATTGACCATCTTAAAGACTGATGGATATATGCTATGATTGACTGATTTGCTCTCTGTTTGTCTGATAGTGCAATAAACTGATTGATTGACTGCCTAAATAAATATTCGTCTATACGTCAATCTCTAACCGAATCATTTATTGATTGATTGACTACTAAGCGTCTATCTGGTTGTTTGATTGATTGCCTTACTGCACTTGACTTCATTGCTAGATGATTGACTTGGTTAATTGACAGACCTGAATGAATTAATAGTTGATTGATTTAGCTAATTGAAAAGCCTAATTTCATTATTCACATGGATTGATTGATTGATTATAGCTTCACTCACCTGTGAAATAGAGTCCTGCTTCCAGAGCTTGCCGCCCTTTAATATACCGCTGATCTGTGTGGTCGTTGTTAGCTCCTTGGGCGGTATGGGCGGAGGTTTCTCCTCATCGTATTGCTCCGAGCCAGCTGCGGAGCCTGCAGCAGCAGTGGCTGCTGCCGCTGCCGCCGCCGCCGCTGCTGCGGCTGCTGTGGCGCTTGCCTTGGCTGGCAGTGCCGGTGGCAGCAAGTCCGCTGCTGGCGTGGAGCCAGCTCCTGTGCCAGTTGAGTTGGCAGCGGCCAGATCCTCGGGCGCTTCGCGTATGATGCGTCGCTCGGTCACTGTGGTCATAGTGGTAATAGTTTCAACAACAAATCTTTTTTTCTTGGCTGTGCTACTGCCCGCTGCTGGCACCAGGCTGGTGCCGTAGCCGGAACCGGTTACGGATACGGAACCGGGACTAGAGCTTGCGGCGGGCTTGCTGCTACTGCCCGATTCCTTTCTAACTTTGACTGTTATTTATTAACACACATACACACATACGCACACACACACGCGCGAAGTTCAGCATTCACATGCGGCATAGTCAGAGAGAGCGGCATATTTGGTTGTAATTGTTATACGAAATAGAGCATTGAACAGATTTGCATTGACAGGTGGCAAAGAGACAAACGTGGTTAGTTGGGAGAGCAGTGGATGGACGGACGAATGAGCGAGGTCGAACGATTGATTGCGAGCAGCTTTGGCTGCAGCTTCAGTGTGCAGTGTTAATTACACTGATATTCACATTGGTGTATAACAGATGTATGGCAGCTGTAGATCAACAACCAAGGGGTCGCAAATTACACAACATCTGAATAATAGTCATAAAACAGTTTTAACACAGTTATAACAGTTGTATAACAGTTATATAACAGCTGTATAACAGTTATATAACAGTTGTATAACAGTCATATAACAGTTGTATAACAGTCATATAACGGAACATATTGAAGGTTTGATTACAAACTGTATAGCATCAATATAACAGTCGTATAACAGTTGTATAACAATTATTTATAACATATGTATAGCTGTCATATAATAGCTGTATACACCAATTGTATAACACATTAGAAAATGTCATTCAGCTGTATAACAGCTGTATAACATATGCACAAATCGCTTTGTATGGCATGATTGATCAATTTCACTTTCTCTTTCGATCTGCAATCTGCCAATTGTTCAAATTGAATGAATGCTCCAGGAGGGGATTACTTTAGATTGACTGATGTAAGCCATGTATACTCTATGCCATATCTAATATTGAGAGATGATAATTTGGAAAGTTGGCAACGAATGATGAATGGAACTATGCTCTGTGCTATGACCGCTCAATGCCAATTGCAGGAATATTGCAAAGAATGAGTTAAACAAATGCTGAGCAAATTCGGGTTTGGGTGCTGGACGAGTGGCGTGAGGTGGATGCAGCGATGCATGTAGTATAGCGAGTATATGCAGCGATACACAAAGCTAATGAGGAATTTGTTGAGCTGAATTGGGAGAGCTTACCTGCTGCTGCCGCTGCGGGCTTGTATTGAGATTGAAGCACATATTTGGGACGCTCCTCGCCGGCGATGATCTCCTTTTGCGTGATGCGACGCTCCGGTGAGCTGGTGTGCAATGGCAGCAGTGCCACAGCTGGCACGCCAATGGGCGTCAGCTCTTCGTTGCATTGGGCGGCGCTGCATTCTGTGGAGGGAGTGGCAGAGGGGGGAGAATATTAGATGATGTCATGATTAATTGAGTGATTAATGAGCAGCTCTAGGTCTAGGGCTAGGCCCAGCTGTAGGATCTACACAGCTATCGTATTGCACAAACATTTGTATAACAGTTTTTAATATTATATCGTGTCATTACATTTTTCGGAAGTTCACATTTTAAAGGCAAAGTTTGATTTATTTAATTTCTTAATTGATTTCAAATATTCGACTGGGCCCTTGCCGGGGTAATACACGCTGTCATACTGTTATATGGAGTATGCCAGTTGGCGGGCCTGTTGCTGCGGCGGAAGCGCGCTTGAAGGATTGCTCTCTTATATGAGGGTGCGGCCAAAGCTCGGGTCCCATGCCCTGGTGCTCGACTTAACTTTGGTGGCTTAGTGGTTCAGTGGTTCCGGCGGCTCGTTGGCTCGCTGGCTCTTTGACTGTTAACCGGGTGGGTCACATTCCGCTTCGTTAGGCGCAACAAATAATGTTCAACGAGGGGGCGACACACGAGTTCCGTTTTGCTTGCCAATCAATAAAGCGTGACCAAAATTAATGTAAACATCGAGCCTAGCCCGTTCCCTACTTTCTGAACTACAAAAGTATTGCCTGCCGCACAAAAAGTGTCGCTTCTCATATCCTGCTATGGGCAACCCAGAAAGCAAAGCCATAAACAACTACAAAACTTTCGCTTGTTTATCCATTTAGTTAAGTTTCCATAAATCAATCATTGTTAACTTCGACGTCTGCGGCAATGCGGGCTTGCGATGTTCCTCCTTGAATTTACTGCAGATTGTTGCACACAGTGTGGCAAGTGTGGGCTACATATACTCTGTGCGTTGCATATACTCTACGAAAATCTATAAAGCTTGAGTCTGTAACCGAAGGCGTCTGTAACTGAATTGACCTTAATGAGGTAATAGAAATCCTATAGCATTCAAGTTGAGTTCTCTTTGAAATTAGATGTATTACAGTTGTTTGATATTTCGCATTTAACAGTATATGGTATGGCAAAAAATCTATACTGCTTGTATAACACTTGCATAACTGTCCTTTAATTCTTATATAAGATTAATTAAAGTATAACTGGCACATAAGCCAGTTATATAACACTTGTATAACAGTTATCTTAAGCCTTAAATCCCCAATGGTCCGCGATTGCCCCCTAGAACTTCGGGCAGTCGTATTAAATGAAATTTAATTAGCTATTAAATTTCATGGGCCTTCGCTGCGACATAAAAAATCAAAATGGCGTCGCATTTATGGCTCGCACCCAATTGGCACGGTCTAGACCCAGCTGATGGCCGGCCGAGGAGCCTGTTTGCATAAATAATTTATGATTAGATTACACAAAGGCAAACGAAAAACGAAAAAGAACGCTGCTGAATAGAGGCAAAGCCCAAAAGGGCGCAGACGAGCCGCGAGAGGACACTCCCCCTCCCTGCGCCCACTCGCCCTGGCTATCCATCTAGCCACGCCCAAAGGGATGCCCGCTAATTGCATCGGAGCTAGCAAAACATAAACCAAAAGCCAAAGGACATTGGCGCAGTTACCTGCATCCTGTAGCTGCTTTGCGGCGCATTCGGCACACTCGGCGCACTCAGTGCAAACGCCCTGCAGGTCCTCATCGGCCTGCTGCTGCTGCTGCTGCTGGGATGTGGCATGATGCTGTTGTTGTTGCTGCTGCTGTTGTTGCTGCTGCTGCTGTTGTTGTTGTTGCTGCTGCTGTTGCTGCTGCTGCTGAGCGCTGCCCACTGGCGGCGGCGGTGGCGGTACTTGATTGTTGCCATTGCCGTTGCGCGCCGCCAACATTGCGGCACGCTGCTGCTGCAGACGCTGTATCACCTGCAACTGTTGCAGATGCTGCGCCCCAAAGATGTGACCACTGAGCGCACCGCCCAGCGTATTCTTCAAGCTGTTGTCCTTGTAGCCATCCGGTGGACTGAGCGCCGCATCGTCCACAAAGTCGATGGGCGGCTGGAATTTGGGGCTCTGCAAAATAATTTAAAGAGTCGAATTACACTCAGAGAAATTACGTTTACCATACGAGTTTCGTATTTTCAAAGAGAGTTGTTTTGCAGTGGTATAATAGTTGTATAACAGTTTTACAATAGTTTTGTAACTAAATGACAACTGCATAACAGTAGTTTTTAGCAATATAACATTTGTATAACAGTTATATAACAGTTTTATAACAGTCGTATTACCCATGTCTAGCAGTTGTTGACTGTTGTATGTCAGTTTTTGACTACACTTCATTTACAATCCCTTCCGTGAGAGCCTAAACGTCTAACACATGAGTAATTCATCTCTTCTTCAGCTTATAACAGTTTTTATACATTTTTTTCAAGTGTAGCATCAACTTGATGTTAGCTAACTAAGTAAGTTATAGGCAACTAGGCTTCTAGCTACACGTAATTGTGCGCCCGCTCGCAAATTAAGCTAATTGAGTTTTATAGCCAGACGGCATGGGGGCGCTACATGAATACATATGCATGTATGTGTATGTGTTCGTGTGAGTGTAAGTGTGTATGTGCGTGTGGGTGGCTGTCTGGCTGATGAACTATGTGTGCTCGTAAATCTGTGTTAAGTCTCCTCGGCGGCTGTGCAGGAAACTAATCATAAGGCAGTGACCGTTGCTTGAGTATAACACTTGTACGGTGCGGCGCTTAATTACTGTCATTATAGTTATATAATAATTGACATAGAAATTCAATGTTATGGCAGCTCTGCGACACATGTATAACAGCTAAAAAAGTGCAAAAGTGTATTCAGATATTTCTTAACAAGTAAAACTTGTTTGCTCTGAAAGCGTATAAAAGTCATTTAACAGATTTATAACAGTTTTAGAGGTTGCTTGACAGTCTGTTAATTATATAGTCATGTTCTGAATCTACTTCAGCTCTAATATAACAGTTGTATAACAGTTTTTAAAGCTCAAATTGATCAAGTGTTAAATGTATATGGCTTTTCGTTCAGTCAAACGGAATATTGTTGTAAATATATGAAATATACGTGTATAACAGTAATATAACAATTGCATAGATAATTGCCGGCAACTTAAATTTGTTTAATGCCCATGTGAGCCAGTTATATTTAACTTCATACGTATAACAGTCGTATGACAGTTGTATAACAGTTTTTTCTTTTTTCACTTAATGCCTATCAGAGCCAGTAATGTTTGGCTGAATACGTATAACAGTCGTACGTATAACAGTCAAGTTGTATAACAGTTTATTCTTTGTCAGTTACAACTTCCAAAGCCGCCTATTAGTAGTATAACAGTCGTACCTATAACAGTCGAGTTGTATAACAGTTTATTCTTTGTTAGTTACAACTTCCAAAGCCGCCTATTAGCTGATTATCTAGCGCTAAAGCACAACCACAAGCCGCAAGACCAAGGACAAGACACATGCATATGCGCACATACACACACACACACATATACATGCAAAACACATACGTTTGTAAGTGCAAATAGAAGTACATTTAACACAATGCATTTGCAATTGGAAACAAAGTCTAGGCCAAAAGTTCGCTGTGGCTGCCTCTGCCTCTGGGCCAGACAGAACAGGGCAAGGCAATCAAGTTGCCAAGAAGTTTCTTCTCTTTTTGTTTTGCTGACTTCTTCAGGCAGTGCCTCATAAAGCAAAAAGCCGCGCACATAACGTTGAGGAAACGCTACAACATGTGTGTGTGTGATTGTATGTGTGTGTGTGTGGGAAAAGTCAAATGGAAAATGGAAAATGGCAAAGTCGTAAGAGCGCAGCTTGGCCATAAAGATTGTCAAATTTTCTTGTGGGTTTTTGTTTTTCAATTTACCTGAGAGAATTTGCATGGAGGTGGCTTGGCTAAATATATTGGCAATATGCATACATACATATACATGTATGTATATCAAGCCTCTCTCTTCCATTCATTATTTCTGCGATTTTACGTCAAGCTGTTAAATTTTTGCTGTTAAAATTTCAACTGAATTTGTTTTAGTTCAGCTTTAATCATTGCAAAAATAGATCTTAACTGTTATTGGCGTGTGAGATGAACTTTATTACAGTTTCTAAATTTATCCTATAATACCTTTATCTAGTACTAGCTGGATCTCTAAAAATTATATATATATAAATATCTTGACTGTTATATATCTTTCTATTAATTAATAATTTGTATAACAGATTTTACTATATGTTTTCCATTGTTACTTTCGGATACTAGAGAGGGCTTCTATTTTAATATATCTATCATAACTGCTTTACAGCTAATGCTTGTAAGTGTATTTGCTTAACTGTATAACAGTTTTTACTCGAAATCTTCCCTTGTTATTCTTGTATACTACAGAAGCAGGAGCTTCAACTTCTGTTGCCATATATGCTGTATATTTACTGTTATATGCATATAGCACTAGGTAAGTTGTATAACAGTTTATTTTGCATGTTTTTCTGTGTTATATTTGCCTACTTGATAAGCTTTACCTCTTGATGCTGATGAATAAATAAAAATAAACTGTTATATAATATGTAAAAGTATTTTAAAATTTGTATAACAGTCTCTACTGTAGGTTTGTCTCTGTTGATTATGACTAAATAATTTCTGTATGCGATGGCCTAATATCATATATCAACTGTTATATAACCTTTTATATATAAAAGCCTTTGATAAGTTGTATAACAGTTTCGACTCTATGCCTTCCAGTACTGCTTCTGGCAACTATAGATCCTAGTTTGCTGTCACTCACAAGTCATATAAATACATTCCAATACATATGTGTTGAACTGTTATATACCTGTGAGAGCATTTGACATGTGGTATGACAGTTTTGCACCCAGCACGTTTTGTTGGCCTTTCCCTTTGTCTGCAGCTCGAGTTCCGTTTGGGTTATGCAACGCGTTTGGTAAACTTGTTACATACACTAAATGCATATTAAACTCTTGAGAGCCAACACACCTACACACAGAGGGCATAGAAGGAGACAGAGAGAAAGAGAATGGCAGTGGCGAGGCGCACACAGACTGGAATCTTAGGCATTTGCCACATGCTTGAGCAGCGCCAAGTCAAGTGCATTGGGCGGCCACCCACTCTGGCCAAAGCACTCAGACAGACAGACAAACAGACGGACAGACAGAGGGACAGAGGGACAGACAGTGAGTGGGGCGTATTGTGTGTGGCCAGAGAGGGTGCGGGGGTGTGCCAGCAGGACATTTGCCGTGGCAGATAAGCAAAAAAGAGGCGCACTCAAGTGACGCTCATGTGGCAGAAAATTGAAATTTAAACGCAGCTCGAGGGCCGCTTAGAATCGATGCAAAGGCAAAAGCAACAAAAAAAAAAAAAAAAATGAAAGACAGAGAGAAAGAACTTAAAGAGTGCATGACGTATACGTAATAGGCCAAGAAGCAAGAGGAGAGCGACAGAGGGAGAGAGGAGGGAAGGGGAGGAGACAGCAGGCAAGTTGCTGCGACAGCAAACCTTGCGAATGTCCTTAGCAACATGAAACGCGTACATCACGATAAAAGGCACAATTTCATAAAACAATATATCATT